ATATTAGCCTGTAGTTCTCTATTTTAGTGATGTCTTTATCTGGTTTTGGTATGAGAGAATTAATGGCCTCATAGAATGAGTTGGGGTTTTCCTTCCTTTTCTATTTTTTGAAATAGTTTGAGAATAGGTATTAACTCTTCCTTAAATGTTTGGTAAAATTCTCCTGTGAAGCCATCTGATCCTGGATGTTTGTTTGTCAGGAGTTTTTTGATTACTGATTCAGCTTCTTTGTTTGTTGTTGGTTTGTTCAAATTTTCTATTTCTTCCTGTTATAGTTTTGGTAGATTATATGCTTCTAGGAATTTATCTATTTCTTTAGGTTGTCCAACTTGTTGGCATATAGTTTTCATAATATTCTCTTATAATTGTATTTCTGTGGCATTGACTGTTATTTCCCCTCTCTCATTTGTGATTTTATTTGAGGCCTTTCTCCTTTTTTCTTGATAAGTATGGCTAAAGGTTTTTGGCATTTTTTTTTAAGTTTATTTATTTATTTGGCAGGCAGAGAGAGGGAGAATCCCAAGCAAGCTCCACACTGTCAGCACACAGCCCAGTGCTGGGCTTGATCCCACAAATCCTGAGATCACTTGAGCCAAAAACCAAGAGTCGATCACTTAATTGAGCCACCCAGGTGCCCCTAAGTCTGGCTTGATCTGTTCTGTTTTGTTTTTTTTTTTATTTCTGTATCATTTATTTCTGTTCTAATCTTTATTATTTCCTTCCTTCCTTCTGCTGGCTTTAGTCTTTTTTTGTTCTTTTTCTAGCTCCTTGCGGTGTGTGCTTAGGTTGTTTATTTGAAATTTTTCTTGCTTCTTGAGGAAGACTTATATTGCTATAAACTTCCCTCTTATGACCACTTTTGCTGCATCCCAAAGGTTTTGACCAATGTGTTTTCATTTTCATTTGTTTCCATGTACTTTTTAATTTCATCTTTTATTTCCTGGTTGACCCATTCATTCCCTAGTAGCATGTTCTTTAACCTCCTTGTATTTATCATCTTTACAGATTTTTCTTGTGGCTGACTTCTAGTTTCATACATTGTGGTCAGAAGAGATGCATAGTATGACTTCAATCTTCCTCAATTTGTTGAGGCTTATTTTAAGGTCTAACATTCTCTTCTGGAGAATGTTCCACGTGTATTTGAAAACAGAATGTGTATTCTGCTGTTTTAGGATGTAATGTACTGAATATGTCTGTTAAATCCATCTGTGCAAGTGCGTCATTCAAAGCCATTGTTTTCTTGTTGATTTTATAAGGATTTTTTTTGTTTGTTTTTTTTTTGTTGTTGTTGTTGATGATCTTCTGTTTAGATGACTTGTCTGTTGATGTACATGGGGTGTTAAAGTCATCTTCTCTTGTTGCATTATTATCTATTAGTTCTTTTATTTTTGTTATTAACTGTTTTATGTATTAAGGTGTTTCTATGAGGGTACATAAATATTTACAATTGTTATATCTTCTTGTTAGATTGTCCCTTTTATTATTATATAGTGTCCTTTGTCTCTTGTTACAGTCTTTGTTCTAAAGTCTGTTTTGTCTGATAATATATATTGCTACTCCAGCTTTCTTTTGACATCCATCTGCATGATAGGTATTTCTCCATACCCTTTCAATCTGTAGGTTTCTTTAGATCTAATATGTGTCTCTTGTAGGCAGCATATAGATGGGTCTTGTTTTATTTTTTTAATCCATTCTGTCACCCTATGTTTTTCTTTAATTTTTTTTTTTAACATTTATTTATTGTTGAGAGACAGAGACAGAGCATGAGCAGGGGAGGGGCAGAGAGAGAGGGAGACACAGAATCCGAAGCAGGCTCCAGGCTCTGAGCTGTCAGCACATAGCCCGACACGGGGCTCGAACCCACGAACTGTGAGATCATGACCTGAGCCAAAGTCAGATGCTCAACCTACTAAGCCACCCAGGTGCCCCTGTCACCCTATGTTTTTTATTGGAATGTTTACCCAATTTACATTGAAAATAATTATTGATGGATATGTATTCATTGTCATTTTGTTGTGCTTTTTGTGGTTGTTTTTGAAGATTTGCTTTGATCCTTTGGCTTTCTCTCTTTCATGTTTTGACAATTTTCTTTAATGACACATTTGGATTTTTTTCTCTTTATTCTTTGCGTATTTATTAGTGGTTTTAGATGTAT